GGAGGGGGAAAATACTTAGATAAGGTTTAGTAACCATAACAATAAAGTTTCCTCTGGGAACCAAGGACATTCTCACAGGTGGCTGGCCAGAGGAGGAGCCAGTAACCCAGCAACCACCCAGAATCTGGATTGGACATTGTGACAAGTGACTTGAGGGGTGGGGAAGAAAGGGAAATCTTTTACTTTTTAATTAGGTGAAAGCCGCGGGAAACCTCAGAGTCGTCTTTCACCAGTTTGTGCCAATATATATGATGTATCCAAAAAAACTGTTCTTTGAGGAACTTGATGGATGCATTACTTAAAATCCTGACAACAGTGACTAAATGCTGTGAGGTCTACTTCTGAGCAAACACGCATAGAATTCTATCCAGAGTTTTACTGATTTTACTAAGATAGTATCAACTGCAAAGTACTTAAATTTGCTTGAGACATCATTACTTTTTACCCGGCTGTGACTGCTCTTGCAATTTTAAATGAGCGCTCTGCACTTGGGAATTAATATTCTCCCAGTTAAGCTCCACTAATCTGTCTTGGCTAGATGCATTAATTAAGACATTGATTTTTTTTTCTTGTTTGATCCCATCATATTTTTCGGTTCCTCTTTTTTAATGAAATAATAAATTGCGGGAGACTTGCAATAGTAACTACTTGAATTTCTGTGACAGAGAATAATGAACTTTGCCAAAGTCTCATTAAAGCAGTCATTGGGGGAGGGGAGGCACTTTGTCTTTTTCCTGTAATCCTAAAAAAAAAAAAAGACCAGGCTGCTTTAATGAGTTGATGTACTGTAGTTAATTGGGCTTTTAAAGAAGCTATGCTTGTTTTTTTATTAATTAAAAGAAGCTTTTACATTCCTGTTGTTTCTGCTTTTAATATGTTCATGAGCCATGGTGGCACAGTGGTTAGAATGCAGTACTGCAGGCCACTTCTGCTGACTGCTGGCTGCCTGCATTTTGGTGGTTGAAATCTCACCAAGTTCAAGGTTGACCAACCTTCCATCCTTCTGAGGTGGGTAAAATGAGGATCCAGTTTGTTGAGGGCAATTATGCTGACTCTGTAAACTGCGTAGAGAGGGCTGTAAAGCACTGTGAAGTGATATATAAGTCTAAGTTATTGGTTATTAAAATCCATGAATCAGCAGACTCTTTGAAGATTCCATTATTCCATTGGTCAATTCAATGGTATTTCTGAATGGTGGATGTCATGAGTTGACCAGTTAGCGGGTTGCTTGTGGTTAGGAAATACCAGAAGATTCTTCTTTCAAAGCCAAGAAGAGACTGTTCAGTTTGAATATTGTGAGATTCTGTAGTGATAAGGCCAATTAAATATTCTCAAAGAATGTTTATTCCCAAATTCCTGCAATTAAAACTAAAAGCAAAGCTACCTGTGCAGAGTGAATAAGATGAAGCTTGGTTGCTCAAGATTTGTGCCCGTGAATGAATCCTACAAAGGGATCCTTTCAATGATGTTTGGTCACATAAGTCCATTTTTAACATACGTGTCAATATTAGGCCAAGCAATCCATCTTATTTTCACCTATCTCGTTACATGGTTTAAATCTAGGATTTTAAAAATTTAATATTACTACCATTGATAGGTGATGGCTTTCCACAGGTTCAGATAGAATGACCGTACCTAATTCATTGGATCCAATTCTTTTATCTAGACATGCTCACAGATGACCAAGGATAGAAACCTTCCCTGCTTCCACTTTTGCTGATCACTCCAACCTTCTCCTTGTTCTTTTTTTTTTTTGACACCACAGTTATATTCTCCACATTACAGCTGAATTCTGATGTGTTTATTGTTCTTTTTTTTTTCCACGCAGGCACACATAAACACACATCCCCTCACTGCCTTGGATTTATACCTCCATATCCTTCTGCTCTACTAATATGATTAAAAGCTCAGCAGGGCGTGAGGGTAGGAGAGGGATGGAGCCCCTCCCCCAATTATTACATATGGTTTTCCAGCACACACACAAAACCTTTTAATTGATGTCAATTCCTTGTGCAGATAATTGACTCTGTGACTAATATGTAGAATGTAAATGCAGAGAGAAAATAGAAAGTCAAGGACAATTTATTCAGATCAAGCCATGTGATTCTTTTCAGAAAATGTGGATCAAATCAGCATTCATCCAGAACCTGTAATTTGAAAGGGTAGATTGGATTGAGAGGACTAAGGGCCTCGGGAGACCATCTGGTTGCTAGAAATAAACAAACAACAACCTTCCCCCCATAAATCTTCCCCATTAAGATTTTAAGGACATAGCAAAAGGTTTACCTTCATATCAACTCTTACCTGTTGGCTGAAGCATAGTGCTAGTAAGCAAACAGTCATTTATTGCATGGGAGCATGAAGTTCTGAAGTGACTTTCCAGATTCTATATGTGCCCTAGAATAGAATAGAATAGAATAGAATAGAATAGAATAGAATAGAATA